ACATCTTTTAATGGCTATTAAAACATGAATAAATTAGTTGCATGGATGGTTATGCTTACTGGTGAAGATATTAATTTTGTGTAAAGACCTTAAGGGTCATGTATAATAAAATAAAGGGAAGAAAGAATGAGTATAGATGTTTTGAAGTGAGCATACATGAAAGACTGAGATAATAGCTAAAATATTGTACAGTAGTGCGTATATATCTATGCGTCTATATGTAGATGATGGAAATGTGCCCTAGGGCAGCCTTTCTCAACCAGGGTGCCCAGGCACCCTGGGGTGCTTTCAGGCTTCTTCAGGGGCTCCTTGGCAAAATGCCCAAAAATTGTATACAAGCCAGCAGGTGGATCAATCCTGCCTTTTAGTACACAAAGCCACAGGTTTTCATTGTGCACTTATATGACCTTCTAGCTGCCAGCATTCTAACAACCAATTATATCATCAGTTGATTAGGAGGACGTCGGGTGCATGCACATCATCTTTGTTTGGCTCTCCCCTGCCCCTCTCTGTCAGCACTGGGATCACATTAGCAGAGTGAGGGAGAGAAAATGAGAGACACACTGGAAAACTAGTCGGTACCAGTGTGCAAAGGTGTATTAGTGTTGGAAGAATAAATCGCCTCTAATGTTGGGTGTGTACTACTCTGGGTTCAGGTTTGGAGTCCAGTAAATGAAACAGCAGGCAAGTACAGTATATGTGTGTAGAATAATTTTGTACATTTTAGATTGGGTGCCTTGAGATTGGGCAGAATTTTAAAGGGTGCATTGCAATTATTCATAATTTTAAAGGATGCCTTGACTGAAAAAAGGTTGAGAAACACTGCCCTAGGGGACAAGGTATAATAAATAAGAGAAAATATATACGTGTATAGGTAGTGGATAAATTGTAAATGGATTATAATTATTTGTCGGGGTTTATAAAGATATATGTATGAAGTGAAATGCGAATAAGTTGCATGTAATTTTCCTTTTAATGCAAATAAATATTCAAACTTGCTGTACTTAGATGGTGCCGCCTCTTTTTCTCCTCAGGTTCATATCTGTACATTTCTCCTCTGCTAGGTAGCTGCCCAACTACTCTTTTGTCAAGATCTTACTGTATAGATGCTTTATCCTGTGCCAAATATATTTTCCTGGCATAATAATTTGTTATCAACAGCAAACATTGAAACTGAGCTCTTGATTCCAGTCTAGATATGATTAATAAACAAATTGAAGAGCATTGGCCCCAAGACAGGGGCTCACCACTAACAAAGTTAAACTATTTAGGGAAGGTGTAAGGGATACCGAATACAGGTATCCAGTGGCAGCAGGGATGACCAGTTCAATGTAGCTGTAGTTAGGAAACTGGAATCAAACTGTAGTCAGAGTATGATTAAAATAAAGTTTGCTAATGCACACACCTATCCAACACCAACAAACCATAAGCGTTTTCACAACAGTGAAAAATAAACATGACAGTGAAGCAAAACCATACCAACAACCTAACTATAACACACTATACAGTATATGAATAGATGGAAGATGACATAAACATGTCATGACCAGGACAGGGACTGGGTACAAAGGGACAAATATGGGGTATTGGTATGCAGGGTACTAAATTCAGGGTACAGGAAAAGACAGAGATCAGGATAATCAGCAAGCAGCTATATGGCTAACAGCCAAAACACTGAAGCACTGATGCAAATAAAGGGAGGTGTTGTACACCTTCCCAACAGCCAGCATCAGGTGGAGCCTAACTACTGGGATCTGATGGCTGCTGGGAGACACCTGCTGATAGCTGATAGCTCCTACATACTTTATTTTATAGATTAAAAAGAAGTATGGTCAAAGGCTGAAGGTGTTTTACCTTCATGTATTCTATACATGAAGGTAACAAAACCTTCTATGTTTTGCTCCCCCCACAGCATCCCCCCTCCCAATACTTACCTGAGCCCCATTTCGATCTAGCGCATGGAATCCTCTGCTCTACCAGGTCTCTCTATCTCCTCATTGACTGAGACACAGCAGTGGCAGCCATTGGCTCCCACTACTGTTAATCACAGCCAGTGAGGAGAGAATGAGGGGCAGGGCTGAGCCTCGCTCTGTGTGTCTTATAGACACAGTGGTTTTGCACAGAGCTGCCCCAATCCGCCTCTCCTTGGGGTCCCCTGCCGCCACTCCTGGCCCCTCCCTCCTGCCGAGTGCCCCCAGAGCAAGCAGCTTGCTATAGGGGGAAACCAAGCAGGGTTGCTTTCGAGTTACTGCTGCGCGTGTCCATTCACACACAGAGTCACCACTCACCACCCCCCTCTCTCCTCATTGGCTCACTGGCTGTAATTGACAGCAGCAGGAGCCAACAGAAGGTTTTTTACCTTCATACATAGAATGCATGAAGGTAAAAAACCTTAAGTCCTTACAACCACTTTAATACCACTTTAAGCAAAGATATGAGTTTTAAATCTGTTTATAATTCAGTGCGTTTTGGGGAAAGTAATGGTGGCACTGTGTTTAGTATAGCTTTCTATTTTCTCCACACAGTTTGGGGTTTGTCAGACCTCAAACACATGGTATACACATACAGTATGTAAAAAAGGATGCATATACACATATGTAAAAAAACGATTATGCTATACGCACGAGGTACCCCGACAGGTTATTATTATTATTATACAGGATTTATATAGCGCCAACAGTTTGCTCAGCGCTTTACATTATAGTGGGAGACAATACAGTAGCAATACAGTTCAATACAAGAGGGATTTGAGGGCCCTGCTCCTTGGAGCTTACAATCTAGGAGGGAGGGGGGGAATGGTACAATAGGTAATAACTGTGGGGGATGGAGTGGTTGGAAGAGTAGAGGATTCCAGTATTAGCAGAGGGCGGGATAGGCTTCCCTGAAGAGATAGGTTTTCAGTGATCGCCTAAAAGTCAGTAGAGTAGGTGATAGTCTGATAGATTGGGATAGGGAGTTCCAGAGAATGGGTGACGCCCTGGAGAAGTCTTGGAGACGAGCATGGGAGGAGGGGATAAGGGAGCTAGAGAGAAGGAGGTCTTGCGAGGAGCGGAGAGTACGGTTTGGGTGATATTTAGAGACAAGATCGGTTATGTAAATTGGGTAGTGTTGTGGATGGCTTTATATGTCATTGTTAGTGTTTTGAATTTTATCCGTTGGGCAACTGGGAGCCAGTGGAGGGATTGGCAGAGAGGGGTGGCAGATACAGAACGGTTAATAAGGTGGATGAGTCTGGCAGCAGTGTTCATGATAGACTGGAGTGGGGATAGCCTGCGAAGAGGTAGGCCAATGAGGAGGGAGTTACAATAGTCGAGGCATGATATGACAAGGGAGTGAATAAGTTGTTTAGTGGTTTCCAGGGTTAGGAACGGTCGTATCTTGGAGATGTTGAGGAGGTGAAGTCTACATGATTTTGTCAGCGATTGGATCTGGGGCTGGAAGGACAGAGTCTAGGATTACATCTAGTACCCTGGCATGAGGGGATGGACTGATGATTGTGTTATCGATATTTATGGTGAAGTCAGTGGAGGTTGCAAGGGCTGGGGGGAATACTAAGAGCTCAGTTTTGGAAAGGTTGAGTTTGAGAGAGTGGAGTGACATCCAAGCCGATATGTCACTTAGTAGGCTAGCGATGCGAGTGGAGACTGAAGGGGTGAGGTGAGGGGTAGACAGATAGATTTGCGTGTCATCAGCATAGAGATGGTAATTGAAGCCATGGGAGTTTATCAAGTGACCGAGGGAGGAGGAGTAGATGGAGAAGAGAAGGGGTCCAAGGACAGAACCTTGAGGGACCCTGTCAGGAATGGACTTGCCAGTAATGGTGGGACTCACCTGCCTTGTGGGCTGCAGTACCAGGGCTGGCCAGCGGGTGCTCCCGGGCAATCAGAGACTCAACCCTGCAGCCAGCCAAACATCTGAAACTGATCATGCAGGTGTATTTAAGGGATGACCAGACCTGCAGTCTCTGCCTTGGTGTGTGTTTTTCCTGGGCCCTGTATCTTGTTCCTGCATTCCTGCATTCCTGTTCCTGTCTCTGTCTGATTCGTTGCTGACCCTGCCTGATTCCGGACCTCTGCTGACTTCTCCTGTTTCATCCCTGGCTTGTGACCCCGACCATTCTCTGCCTGACCCCCTGTTCCTACCTGCCCGATTGTTATTGACCCGGCCTGCCTGACGACGCTTGCATTGTATATATTGTTATCTGTGGGTGGTTTGGTTTGGTTCGTTTGCACTGTGTTATGTTTTAGTATTGCACTGCGTTTATGTTTGTATTGTTAGTCTTTAATAAATTGTCTTATTGTTTATAACATATCTGAAGCCTGCGTTTCCCTGCGTCAGTCACATACCTCTGGTCACACCCCGGAGCCCTGACATTACACCAAGGCCAATCCTGACCAGAAGTGGCTGCACAGGGAAGCCATCTTGGCTTGTTGCTGGGAAGGATGGATCTTGATGAGGTTGTGTATTTATCTCTGCTAGTGTTTGATGACAGAGAGTATGCTTATCAAACTCTGAAGGAGTATCCCAGGGATGAACTGCTAGAATGTATATGGATCGCTCATATTCTAGTAGATCAGGGCACAGAATTCTCTGAGGTGCAGCCATTGATTCAGGTTTGTGCTGAGTTGGTTTCATCTGGTACCCCCGAATGCAGGGATGAATTTTTGCCGCCATTTAGTGCAGACCAGGTAGAGTCCCTGGTATGGTTATTAGAGGATGATGTGGATTACTTCTTGGAGCATTATGCTGCATGTTCACCACAGGTATTAAGGGATTGTATAAACGCAGTGCAGTCTTTGGTCAGACAGGCTTTGTGTAAGCTCAGCTTTGTTCAACCCATACTGCAGACATGGTCAGACTTGTTGCACCCAGCCTCAGTCAGCTTGCAAAAACCCAGTCCTGCTTCAAATCTATTTCTTCAAAGCTCTATTCCTGCTTTCCCAACAGCACCTCCAGTTACAGCCCAGTATACCCTGCTATCTACCGCATGTCAGTACCCTGTTCCCACTCGCTGCACCTATCCTGCCTTTAACCCTGTAAAGAAGCCCTCTGTAGCAACTGTTCCCTCCCCTGTTCCATCCTCCAGCTCTTCTCTGTCTCCAGCTGCTCCATCCATTTACAAACCTGCGCTTACTTACAGTACTCCGGTAACTAAAACCAGGAAAAGGCGAAAGTTCTTTCCAACCAATACCATCCTGCCAGTATCCAAACCGGTCAGCCTCCCATCTGAGAACCTGCCTTCCATGGTGCAGCCTGGTGCCTCGGTGCCCACAATTCAGCCTGATGCCTCTACCCAGCCTGATGCCTCCACCCAGCCTGATGCCTCCACCCAGCCTGATGTCTCCACTCAGCCTGATGCCTCCATTCAGCCTGATGTCTCTACCCAGCATGATGTTTCTACCCAGCCTGATGAACTGATCCAGCCTGATGATCCTATTATGCCAGACGACTCGGTGCCCGCTGTTCCGCCAGTTGACTCGGTGCCCGCTGTTCCGCCAGTTGACTCAGTGCCCGCTGTTCCGCCAGTTGACTCGATGCCCGCTGTTCCGCCAGTTGACTCGGTGCCCTCGCCCGCTGTTCCGCCAGTTGGCTCGGTGCCCGCAGTCTTGCCAGACGACTCGATGCCCGCTGTTCCGCCAGTTGACTCGATGCCTGCTGTTCCGCCAGTTGACTCGGTGCCCGCAGTCTTGCCAGACGACTCGGTGCCCGCAGTCTTGCCAGACGACTCGGTGCCCGCTGTTCCACCAGTTGACTCGGTGCCCGCAGTCTTGCCAGACGACTCGATGCCCGCTGTTCCGCCAGTTGACTCGATGCCCGCTGTTCCGCCAGTTGACTCGGTGCCCGCTGTTCCGCCAGTTGACTCGGTGCCCGCTGTCTTGCCAGACGACTTGGTGCCCGCAGTCTTGCCAGACGACTCGGTGCCCGCTGTTCCGCCAGTCGACTCGGTGCCCGCTGTTTCGCCAGTCGACTCGGTGCCCGCAGTCTTGCCAGACGACTCAGTGCCCGCAGTCTTGCCAGACGATTCAATGCCTGATGACCCAGTGCCCGCGGTCATGCCAGTTGACTCGGAGCCCACTGTCGTGCCTGGTGACTCGGTGCCCACTGCCTTGCCAGATGACGCGGTGCCCGCTGGCGAGCCAAATGACCTGATGCCTGGTGACCCAGTGCCCGCTGTCATGCCTGGTGACCCGATGCCCGCTGTCGTGCCAATTGATTTAGAGCCCACTGTCGTGCCTGGTGACTCGGTGCCCACTGCCTTGCCAGATGACGTGGTGCCCGCTGGCGAGCCAAATGACCTGATACCTGGTGACCCAGTGCCCGCTGTCATACCTGGTGACCCGATGCCCGCTGTCGAGCCAGACAATCCCATGCCTGATGACCCAGTGCCCGCTGTCATGCCTGGTGACCCGATGCCCGCTGTCGGGCCAGACGAGCCAATGTCTGACCCAGTGCCCACGGTCATGCCAGTTGACTCGGAGCCTACTGTCGTGCCTGGTGACTCGGTGCCCACTGCCTTGCCAGATGATGCGGTGCCCGCTGGCGAGCCAAATGACCTGATGCCTGGTGACCCAGTGCCCGCTGTCATACCTGGTGACCCGATGCCCGCTGTCGAGCCAGACAATCCCATGCCTGATGACCCAGTACCCGCTGTCATGCCTGGTGACCCGATGCCCGCTGTCGGGCCAGACGATCCAATGTCTGACCCAGTGCCCGCGGTCATGCCAGTTGACTCGGAGCCCACTGTCGTGCCTGGTGACCCGATGCCGTTGTGGTGCCTGATGACCCGGTGCCCACCGCTCCGCCTGGGGGCCCGGTGTCTGCCCGCCCCTCCTGGGGGCCCGGTGCCCGCCGCTCCGCCTGGGGGCCTGATGCCTGTCCCCCCGCCTGGGGGCCCGATGCCTGTCGCCCCTCCTGGGGGCCCGGTGTCCGCCGCTCCGCCTGGGAGCCCGATGCCTGTCGCCCCGCCTGGGGGCCCGATGCCTGTCGCCCCGCCTGGGGGCCCGGTGCCTGTCACCCCACCTGGGGGCCCGATGCCTGTCGCCCCTTCTGGGGGCCCGGTGCCTGTCGCCCCTCCTGGGGGCCCGGTGCCCGCCGCTCCGCCTGGGGGCCCGATGCCCGTCGCCCCCGCCTGGGGGCCCGATGCCTGTTGCCCCGCCTGCCTGGGGGCCCGATGCCTGTCGCCTGTCAGGAATCTGGGTATGACCAGAAAGGTGTGGACTGACACAGGGAAACGCAGGTTTCAGGTATAGTATAATAATACAGTTTATTATTAGCCACCCAGATATATATAGATATATAAACGCACAGTGAACAAACCAACCTACCACTAATCTTAGTAGGTGCAGGAACACAGGCGTAGTCAGGGCTGGAGAGGTGGAATGGTCAGGCCGGCCGTAGGGTTCTGTAATGACCGTTTGGTGGTACCTCTAGCGGTCCTCAGGACAGGATTCCCCCAGGGCGCAGAGTCTAAGTCCCAGTCTGCTTATTCACCAGGGCCCCTGATGGTGGGGATGGACTTGGAGCAGACAGGAACCAGGTCGCGGCCCCTGAGTACACCTGCTAGTGGTAGAGGGATCCGCCAAAGGTATGTGCAGGTAGAAAGCCTGATGTGAAGAGGCAGAAGGTGTGAGCAGGGACGGCTGGATCCGTGCAGGATGGATGGATGGATGGCAGAGTAGTTAGCGTGGTCAGACGGGCCAGGTCAGCAACGTGCGGGGGCAGCAAGGTACCAAAGGAGCAGGCAGAGAATGGTCAGGGTCACAAGCTGGGTTCAGTAACTCACGGGCAGCGTAGTACAGGGGATCAGGCAGAAGGATGGTCAGGCAAGCCAGGGGTTCAACAGGAGACGGTCAGGATCAAGCAGGGTCAGCAACGAAGCAGGAACACAGGATACCAGGTACAGGGCTCATGGGAAAACATACACCAAGGCCCAGATCACAGGCCTGGTCATGCCTTAAATACACCTTCTGCAATCAGCCCCAGGTTTGGCTGATTGCAGGTGTGAGCTTCTGGCTGCTGAGAACACCCGCTGGTCAGCTCTGATACTGCAGCCCACACGGCAGGTGAGTCCCACCACCAGTGCTGAGTCCATTCCTGACATCGCCCCTCCTGGGGGCCCGGTGCCCGCCGCTCCGCCTGGGGGCCCGATGCCTGTCCCCCCGCCTGGGGGGGCCCGATGCCTGTCGCCCCGCCTGGTGGCCCGGTGCCCGCTGCTCCGCCTGGTGATCCGGTGTCCAGCTCGATGTGCCTCTGCCCGGAGTCCTGCCCGATGTGCCACTGCCCGGGTCCTGCCCGATGTGCCGCTGCCCGGAGTCCTGCCCGATGTGCCGCTGCCCGGAGTCCTGCCCGATGTGCCGCTGCCCGGAGTCCTGCCCGATGTGCCGCTGCCTGGAGTCCTGCCCGATGTGCCGCTGCCCGGAGTCCTGCCCGATCTGCCGCTGCTCGGAGTCCAGCTCGATGTGCCTCTGCCCCGGTGTGCCGCTGCCCAGAGTCCTGCCCCGATGTGCCAGTCTTTGATATCCCGCCAGTTACCAGACCCGGGCGGTGGAAAATTTCGCCCAGCTAGGACTGTTTGGAGCGTCCTGAGGCCGCTCCTTGAGGGGGGGGTACTGTCAGGAATGGACTTGCCAGTAATGGTGGGACTCACCTGCCTTGTGGGCTGCAGTACCAGGGCTGGCCAGCGGGTGCTCCCGGCAATCAGAGACTCAACCCTGCAGCCAGCCAAACATCTGAAACTGATCATGCAGGTGTATTTAAGGGCTGGCCAGACCTGCAGTCTCTGCCTTAGTGTGTGTTTTTCCTGGGCCCTGTATCTTGTTCCTGCATTCCTGCATTCCTGTTCCTGTTCCTGTTCCTGTCTCTGTCTGATTCGTTGCTGACCCTGCCTGATTCCGGACCTCTGCTGACTTCTCCTGTTTCATCCCTGGCTTGTGACCCCGACCATTCTCTGCCTGACCCCCCTGTTCCTACCTGCCCGATTGCTATTGACCCGGCCTGCCTGACGACGCTTGCATTGTATATATTGTTATCTGTGGGTGGTTTGGTTCGTTTGCACTGTGTTATGTTTTAGTATTGCACTGCGTTTATGTTTGTATTGTTAGTCTTTACTAAATTGTCTTATTGTTTATAACATATCTGAAGCCTGCGTTTCCCTGCGTCAGTCACATACCTCTGGTCACACCCCGGAGCCCTGACAGACCCCTACAGAGAGAGGGAGTGAAGAGGTGGTGGCAGCGTTATAGGTAACACTGAAGGAGTGCTGTGATAGATAGGAGGAGAACCAGGAGAGAGCGGAGTATCTGAGGCCAAGAGAGTGTAGTTTTTTGAGGAGGGGATGGTCAACCGTGTTAAAAGCCGGGGAGAGGTCGAGTAGTAGGAGTATTGAATAGTGGCTGTTGGTTTTAGCAGTTAGTAGATCATTAGAGAGTTTTAGTAGGGCAGTTTCAGTGGAGTGTAGAGGGCAAAAGCCAGACTGTAAAGGGTTGAGAAGGTTGTTGTCGGTGAGGAGGGAGCTCAGACAATTGTAGACTAAGCGTTCTAGGAGTTTAGAGGTAAATGGCAGCAGGGAGATGGGTCTTAGGTTGTTCATGTTGGTGGGGTGCAGGGAGGGTTTTTTAAGTATGGGAGTGATGTGCGCGTGCTTTAGTGGGGAGGGGAAGGCACCTGTAGCATAGTATGGAAGAGGAGGGTGACCGAAGGAGTTGTGAGGGGACAGGGTCCAGGGGGCAGGTGGTGAGGCGGGCTTCTGAGAAGACTTTAGTGACCTCTTCGGTGGTAGCGAGGTCAAAGGAGGAAAGTGTTGAGGGAGGTTTGGTATGAGGAATGCTAAGTGGGGTGGGTGTCTGTGTAGTAGCGATGTCCCTACGAATTGCGTTAATCTTGTTTTTGAAGTGGTTTGCAATCTCGTGGGCAGTGAGTGAGGCGCTAGGTGGTGGAGAAAGTAGAGAGTTAAAAGTAGAGAAGAGCCGACAAGGACTGGAAGAGAAGGTATTAATGAGAGTGACAAAGTAGGCTTGTTTAGCAGCGTGAAGGGAGGAAGTGTATTTTAAGAAGGCAGATTTATAATGGTTGAACACTTGGTGGGATTTGGTTTTATGCCATAATCGCTCCAGCGCGCGACTGTGTCGTTTGAGATTTCGGGTGTGGTCAGTCTGCCAAGGTTGTAGCGGTCGGGGCCTGATGCTTCGTGTTGTTAGGGGAGCGAGCGAGTCTAGAGCGGATGAAAGCGAGTTGTTGTAGACAGCAATGACCAGGTCAGGGCAGGACAGGGGATTGATCCTGTCATAGAGTTGGTCAGTTGCAGAGTGGAAGGGAGCCTGGTTCAGGTTTCGGAGATTTCTGCTGGTAATTGTTTGCTGTTTGGTGGGATAGGTGTTAGAGGATGAGGAGACTGTGAAGGTGATGAGATTGTGATCAGAGAGGGGAAAGGGGGTGTTTGTGAGGTTAAGGTTATAGATATATAAGGATAACCTAG